GGAGGACGCGGTGGCGCCGGCGCCGACGGCCCACGAGTGCGTCGCCGATTCCACCAGTTGGTACAAGGACGGCAGCCCGGACAAGGGCTGCGACTGGGTCGCGGAAGATCTGGAGCGGTGCGACTCCAAGGAGGACAGCGCCGGCGTCACGGGCCGCGTCGGCTGCGACGCGACGTGCTACGAGTGCGAGGCCGCGGACGACGCGACGGACGACGCGACGGACGACCACGTCTGCGTCGCCGATTCGACGAGCTGGTGCCTCTTCGGCGTCTATGAAGCGTTGCGTTCCCCACGCTTATTTTGGACCGAACAGGTACAAGGACGGGTCGCCGGACAAGGACTGCGCCTGGGTCTCCGAGGACCTCGACCGCTGCGACAAGGAGGACGCCGACGGCGTGACCGGGAGCGTGGGCTGCGACGCGACGTGCTACGCGTGCACGCCCGCGATGGCCGAGCCCACAGACGCGCCGACGCCCGAGCCCACGCGCGCGCCCGCGTCCCCGCGTCGCCCCCCCGCGCGGAGACGCGCGCCCAATCCCAGGCCCGCGCCGACGCCCGAGCCCACGGACCCGCCGTCGACGGGATTTCCGACGCCCTGGCCGTCACTCGCCTGCGACGACGAGTACCCGCTCCACGTGTCGATGATCCTCGAGCCGGACGCCGCGAGCTGGGACACGGTGTCCTGGCGGTCCGTGAGCGACACGGAGCTCGTGGACGAGGAGGACGCGCCCCACGCGGGCCGCATCTTCAAGTGCGTCGACGACGAGCTCCACTGCTGGACGATGACCTTCACGCTCTCGGACCCGGACGCGAGCGCGGCGCTGTCGTTCACGCTCGTGTCGTCGGAGGGGTCGCGGGCGACGTGGGGCTTCGAGGGGGGGCAGGACACGGAGGAGTACTACTACTGCATGGAAGGCGGAGTGATCGACGCCGTGCCGACGCCGACACCGACGGTCAGCGTCCCGCCGACGTCCGAGCCCGCGCCCGCGCCGACGGCCCTGCCGTCCTACGCGCCGACGACGGAGCCGACGCCTTCGCCGACGCCGCAGCCGTCGCCCGAGCCGACGATCACGCCGGGCTCCGGGGGCACGAAGACGCCGACGGCCGCGCCGTCGATGGCCTGCGACCCGGACGGCGACTTCCCGCTGTCGGTCACGCAGCGCCTCTTCCCCGACGGCGACAGCTGGTCGACGGTGTCCTGGGTGACGACGTCCGACGGCGAGGTCGTGGAGACGCCCGAGGCGCCCTACCCCGACCGGCGCTACATCTGCATCTCCGACGCGGACCGCTGCTTCGAGGTCACGTTCTCCTTCGAGAAGTCCAACAAGAGCGCGGATCTCTCCTACTCCATCGGCGTCGACGGCGCCGCGCCGTCGGAGTACGGCTTCCGGGGCGGCGAGGACGAGGAGAAGTACTACTACTGCATCGTCGACGGCGTCATCGCCGCGGCGCCGACGGCCGCGCCCTCGGTCACGCCCGGGCCCTCGCCCGAGCCCACGCCCGGGCCGAGCCCCGAGCCGACGCCCGATCCGTCGCCGGAGCCGTCGCCGGAGCCGACGCCCGCGCCGACGCCCGAGCCGACGGCCGAGGACACGGTCGAGCCCACGCGCGCGCCGACGACGGTGCTCCCGACGCCCGTGCCGTCCCACTTCTGCAACGGCACCCACCCCTACACCGTGTCCCTCGTCCTCGAGCCCGACGCCGCGAGCTGGGACACCGTGTCCTGGGAGTCGCACGTCGACGGGGAGACCCAAATCGTGGACGAGCCGCCCCACGACGCGCGCGTCTTCAAGTGCGTCGACGACGACTACCACTGCTGGGACCTCGAGTTCTCCTTCGCCAACACCTCGCTGTCCTCGGGCCTCTCGTTCCAGCTCACGTCGTCGGCCGACTCGGAGACGCGCTGGACCTTCCGGGGCGGCGAGGACACGGAGACGTTTTATTATTGTATCGTCGACGGGATCATCGACGCCGTGCCGACGCCCGGGCCCACGGTCAGCGTCGCGCCGACGTCCGAGCCCGTGCCGGCGCCGACGCTGCTCCCGTCCTACGGCCCGACGATCGAGCCGACGCGGGGGCCCACGGGCCAGCCCACGTGCGAGGATTCGAGCTCCTGGTACTACAGCAAGAGCAAGAACACGTCTCGGCGCGGCGTCCGTTTCGTTCCTTCACCGCCTTCCGCGCACGCTCCCTTCGCGACCGTCGCGCGTCGCGAATGCTCGCGGAGGGCATCCTTGTGTTCTCGCGTCTCGCCGCGCGCTCCCGTACCGCGGTCGGCGCCCGCGCCGCAGGTGCGAGGACTACGTGAGCAAGAAATCGAAGAATTGCAAGCTCAAGGACGACTTCAAGGTCAAGGCGCAGGACGCGTGCCCCGTGACGTGCGGCGAATGCGTCGTGCCGACGCTCGCGCCGACGCCGCGGCCGTCGTCGGCGGAGCCGACGCCCGAGTGCCACGACAGCGTCTCGTGGTGGTCGAAGAAGAGCAAGAACGACTGCGACTACGTCGCGAAGGACGCCGACGGCCGCTGCGGCAACGTCGACGAGTCCGACGTCGCGGCCGAGGTCGCCTGCCCGGAGGCCTGCGGCTACTGCGGCACGTTCTCCATCTGCGCCGACAGCACGTCCTGGTACTACAAGAAGAGCAAGAACTCGTGCGAGGACTACGTGAGCAAGAAGAGCAAGAATTGCAAGCTCAAGGACGACTACAAGATCAAAGCCGAGGACGCGTGCCCCGTGACCTGCGACACCTGCGACGGCGGCTGCGCCGACAGCACGTCCTGGTACTACAAGAAGAGCAAGAACACGTGCGAGGACTACGTCACGAAGAAGTCGAAGAACTGCAAGCTCGAGGACGACGCCAAAGTCAAGGCCGAGGACGCGTGCCCCGTGACCTGCGGGACGTGCTAAAGTTCATCGTCGCGGCAACATGATGATGCTGTCCTCCGGCCTCCGGCGCCGCTCTGCACACCCAAACCTTTGGGTGGTGAACACCCGATTAGCCCTCGATGGGCCTCAAAGCGGCGCGTAGGCCGCGGTAGCCGAAGGAAAAACGGCCCCGGCCGCGGCGCATGTACCCCACGAGGGCGCGGAGCCGTTCCAACCGTTCGTGATGGCGACTTCGCGGCTCAAAACGGTCGCGTGACAGCGGTAGGCGGCCCACGCTCTCAGAGGCCCGAGTGCGGACTCGTCGGAAACGCTGCTTCTGGCTCGTTTGGGGCGTGTGCGGGTCCTTAGTGATGGTATAAGAGATTCCGCGTGCTTGGTTCGATGCGTGCGGGCCCAAAACGTGACTGCGCGCGCGGCCGAAGCTCGGCGCCGACGACATTCCCGACGCGTTGACCGCGGGCATCCGGAGCGCCACACGTGCGAGGCGCTGGCCACATCCCTCCGGTGGGTCATATACTCGGTCCGGAAGCGTCGTGTGACCTCGGAAAACGTGTTGAAGTCGTGGATCGCGGACCCCATACACTGCAGCCCTACCGAATGATCTCTGCCGCTGCGATTCTCGTCACCAACGTCCACGGCGACGAGCCCGAGCACACCATCGTCGTCGTATGAGATCTACGTGGCCTCCGGCTAGAAATTTCCAGCGACAACGACATTTTTGACCCGTTCGCGAATCTGGTGCTCGAGCGCATACAGCCTCATCTCGGGCGGAGCACCTACC